TCTCGTTGTGTGTGTCAGGTGTTGTGTGTGATTACGCTTCTGTTTGGTGTTCTGAGCTACGTGTTTCCCTCCGTTGTTTTGGAGAGGTTTTTCGCACATGTGAGTGCGCCTTTTGTTTGACGCCTGTGTGCGCCTTATTTCGCCTAAAATCTGAATGAATGAAATAATCTTAAATACTTTTTTCTTTACATAGTTGAATGTGCTGACAACAAAATCACACAAAAATTATCAATGGAAATCAAATTTATCAACCCATGGAGGTCTGGATTTGGAGTCACCCTCAAAATTAAAGTGGAAAACCACACTACAGGCTGATCCAACTTTGATGTAATGTCCTTAAAACAAGTCAAAATGAGGCTCAGTAGTGTGTGTGGCCTCCACGTGCCTGTATGACCTCCCTACAACGCCTGGGCATGCTCCTGATGAGGTGGTGGATGGTCTCCTGAGGGATCTCCTCCCAGACCTGGACTAAAGCATCCGCCAACTCCTGGACAGTCTGTGGTGCAACGTGGCGTTGGTGAATGGAGCGAGACGTGATGTCCCAGATGTGCTCAATTGGATTCAGGTCTGGGGAACGGGCGGGCCAGTCCATAGCATCAATGCCTTCCTCTTGCAGGAACTGCTGACACACTCCAGCCACATGAGGTCTAGCATTGTCTTGCATTAGGAGGAACCCAGGGCCAACCGCACCAGCATATGGTCTCACAAGGGGTCTGTGGATCTCATCTCGGTACCTAATGGCAGTCAGGCTACCTCTGGCGAGCACATGGAGGGCTGTGCGGCCCCCCAAAGAAATGCCACCCCACACCATGACTGACCAACCGCCAAACCGGTCATGCTGGAGGATGTTGCAGGCAGCAGAACGTTCTCCATGGCGTCTCCAGACTCTGTCACGTCTGTCACGTGCTCAGTGTGAACCTGCTTTCATCTGTGAAGAGCACAGGGTGCCAGTGGCGAATTTGCCAATCTTGGTGTTCTCTGGCAAATGCCAAACGTCCTGCACGGTGTTGGGCTGTAAGCACAACCCCCACCTGTGGACGTCGGGCCCTCATACCACCCTCATGGAGTCTGTTTCTGACCGTTTGAGCAGACACATGCACATTTGTGGCCTGCTGGAGGTCATTTTGCAGGGCTCTGGCAGTGCTCCTCCTGCTCCTCCTTGCACAAAGGCGGAGGAGCATTCCTGCTGCTGGGTTGTTGCCCTCCTACGGCCTCCTCCACATCTCCTGATGTACTGGCCTGTCTCCTGGTAGCGCCTTCATGCTCTGGACACTACGCTGACAGACACAGCAAACCTTCTTGCCACAGCTCACATTGATGTGCCATCCTGGATGAGCTGCACTACCTGAGCCACTTGTGTGGGTTGTAGACTCCGTCTCATGCTACCACTAGAGTGAAAGCACCGCCAGCATTCAAAAGTGACCAAAACAGCAGCCAAGAAGCATAGGAACTGAGAAGTGGTCTGTGGTGACCACCTGCAAAACCAGTCCTTTATTGGGGGTGTCTTGCTAATTGCCTATAATTTCCACCTGCACAACAGCATGTGAAATGTATTGTCAATCAGTGTTGCTTCCTAAGTGGACAGTTTGATTTCACAGAAGTGTGATTGACTTGGAGTTACATTGTATTGTTTAAGTGTTCCATTTATTTTTTTGAGCAGTGTATATTGTTCAGTACAGATACATTACATAGATACATACACATTACATACAGTTGAAGTCAGAAGTTTACATACACCTTAGCCAAATACATTTAAACTCAGTTTTTCACAATTCCTGACATTTAATCCTAGTAAATATTCCCTGTCTTAGGTCAGTTAGGATCACCACTTTATTTTAAGAATGTGAAATGTCAGAATAATAGTAGAGATAATTATTTATTTCAGCTTTTATTTACTTAATCTCATTCCCAGTGGGTCAGAAGTTTACATACACTCAATTAGTATTTGGTAGCATTGCCTTTAAATTGTTTAACTTTGGTCAAACGTTTCGGGTAGCCTTCAACAAGCTTCCCACAATAAGTTGGGTGCATTTTGGCCCATTCCTCCTGACAGAGCTGGTGTAACTGAGTCAGGTTTGTAGGCCTCCTTGCTCGCACACGCTTTTTCAGTTCTGCCCACACATTTTCTATAGGATTGAGGTCAGGGCTTTGTGATGGCCACTCCAATACCTTGACTTTGTTGTCCTTAAGCCATTTTGCCACAACTTTGGAAGTATGCTTGGGGTCATTGTCCATTTGGAAGACCCATTTGCGACCAAGCTTTTACTTTGTCTTGAGATGTTGCTTCAATATATCCACATAATTTTCCTTCCTCATGATGCCATCTATTTTGTGAAGTGCACCAGTCCCTCCTTTGCAGCAAAGCACCCCCACAGCATAATGCTGCCACCCCCGTGCTTCACGGTTTGGATGGTGTTCTTCGGCTTTCAAGAGACCCCCTTTTTCCTCCAAAGATAACGATGGTCAATTTGGCCAAACAGTTATATTTTTGTTTCATCAGACCAGAGGACATTTCTCCAAAAAGTACGATCTTTGTCCCCATGTGCAGTTGCAAACCGTAGTCTGGCTTTTTTATGGTGGTTTGGGAGCAGTGGCTTCTTCCTTGCTGCACGGTCTTTCAGGTTATGTCGATATAGGACTCGTTTTACTGTGGATATAGATACTTTTGTACCTGTTTCCTCCAGCATCTTCACAAGGTCCTTTGCTGTTGTTCTAGGGATTGATTTCCACTTTTCGCACCAAAGTACGTTCATCTCTAGGAGACAGAACGCGTCTCCTTCCTGAGCAGTATGACGGCTGCGTGGTCCCATGGTGTTTATACTTGCGTACTATTGTTTGTACAGATGAACGTGGTACCTTCAGGCGTTTGGAAATTGCTCCCAAGGATGAACCAGACTTGTGGAGGTTTTGGCTGATTTCTTTTGATTTTCCCATGATGTCAAAAAAGAGGCACTGAGTTTTGAAGGTAGGCCTTGAAATACATCCACATGTACACCTCCAATTGACTCAAATGATGTCATTTAGCCTATCAGAAGCTTCTAAAGCCATGACATCATTTTCTGGAAATTTCCAAGCTATTTTAAAGGCACAGTCAACTTAGGGTATGTAAACTTCTGACCCACTGGAATTGTGTTACAGTGAATTATAAGTGAAACAATCTGTCTGTAAGCAATTGTTGGAAAAATTACTTGTCATGCACAGAGTAGATGTCCTGACTTGCCAAAACTATAGTTTGTTAACAAGACATTTGTGGAGTGGTTGAAAAACTAGTTTTAATGACTCCAACCTAACTGTAGATACAGACATGAAAAATGGTTATATTGTTCAATCATCAGCCAGCTTTTGACATTCTTTTTAAATGAAGTTAAGGTCGGTATTGTCACGACTCCCTCCGAAGCTGCCTCATCTCCTTGTTCGGACAGGCTCCGGCGTTCGTCGTCACCGGCCTTCTAGCCAATGCCGCTCCTCTTTTCATCATTCCATTTGTTTTGTATGTTTTTCACACACACCTGGTTCATATCCCCTCATCAGTCTCTGTATAAGTATTCCCTCTGCTCCCCCATGTCTTTCTGTGTTGTTCCATGTGGAGGTGTCGCTATCTCTTGTTGAGCATTATGTTACTTTTATCGCCGGGATATTCACCCGTGTGTTTTGTTTTCCCAGTACGCATTTTAAGTCTCACTGTATTTGGTTAAGCATTGCTGCGGACTGCTGTATTGGCCAAATAAACCCTGTTCTTTGATTCACACCTCCTACGCCTGGCTCCGTCCTAGTCACCTTGTTACAGGTATGGCTTTTAGTTGCTGTGGTAGTTTGTTCCATTCAACAGCACGGGTATATAAAAAGGTGTACTTACCAGACTCTTAAATTTAACAAGGACATTCTGTGTAGAGTAGCCATGTGCCCAAATCCCCTCTCCCAGAAGGCATAAAGAAGAAACAGCTACATCTTATCACAGGTGCAATTAATAATTAAACCTGCACAGGGCTTTTTGGCTTTAGCTTTTTCATCCTGGTTAGAAAATCCTTTCTTGTTTTATTCATGTCGACACTGACTGGCTTCCTTTGAAGAGCACGGTGGTGGTGGTTGTAGGGATCTGTAGTGTTAGGGGGGAAGTGCTGTGATATGCTATGGTAAGGAGAGATAATGCTCTGGAGGGTAAGAGTGGAGCTACCCCTCGGAGGGGCAAGGGGGCAGTGGGGTAGGTGAATGTTGCCTCACCCAGACCAAGAACTAGAGTCAGAGGTTCATGGGAGGGAATCATATTAATAAACCACAGCAAGTTTTGATCGCACACACAGACACACAGGCACGCACGTACAACGAGAATTTTGCCCATATCCAGAAGAGAGAGGCTAATATCGAGGGAGTTGGGCGAAGAAGAGAATTTACCTTATGATATGCCATTCTACTGCATCTATTTTTGTAGTTTCAGCATCTCCTCTGTGATATAATACAAGGAAACCAACCATCATTATAACAGTACCATCCAGAGACCAGATTATGCAGAAAAAAGAGAATAGTGGAGCAAGGCTATAATGGGGTTGGCAGAATCAGTGCAGTGAAAGCCAAAGTTTGACTCCTGTCATCTTTAAGTTAGGATCTGTGGTATGGTACTCCTCTAGCCCTGAAAGACTAATGAGCTCCATGTTTTAAGGGGAGGACTGAGCTCATCTGGGAGAAAACAATAGCCTAGTTAAGATGGGCCTCGAAGGCTGCACAACTCTTGTTTGCACAACTCTTGTTTGCTCTATTTGTGATTCTCCCTTGTCATTATATTATCTGATGAGGGACTGTTTATGAATACTGGCATTTAAAAACATGATAAGTATATAGCAGAATGTTGTGTGGCTGTATATCACATACTGTACATGCCTTCTATGTATAGAATATACAGTCTTCTATGTTTATGGTATGTACCGTGTGTGTTTCCATGCTCTCAATGGTTGGTGAGCACATTGAAAACTGTTGTGCATGTGATTTTTCTATTTGTGTTTTAGGTGGGGCAGGTCAATCCCACGGTTAAGCTTTACGTCGTCAGCTTGGATGGGGGATCCCAGACAACTGAACTGCGACCTCCCAACAGCTTTGAAAAAAGGTATCAATCAAACAAACTTGTTCAGTGAAGAGACCAGCATGTTCAATAAAAAAAGACAATGATCGCAACGTCGTTCGTTAGGCCCCAGTTGGCTGCATATAATTTTGTTCCAATGGCCCTTTGTCCACTATAGTGACTACTACATTACCATGGTGAAATGGGTCACAGAGGAGAAGATCTGTGTGCGCTGGTTGAACCGAGCCCAGAACACCTCCGTCCTGTCGCTATGTGAGGTCACTATGGGGGCATGTGTAAAGGTGAGCATCGTACACGTTACCGTCTTTGCACTGTGAGAGGTCCGATGGGTTGTTCATGTCTACAGTTAAAGGTTTGAACAGCAGACACACATACCCTGCACTAACCTCTCTCTGTTTCCTCCTCAGAAACATGTGATTACATCAGAGAAGTGGCTTGATCGTCAGGTAAGCATGCATAGGGTTTATCGCTATTGTTATTACACATGTATTACACAAGTTCATTCAAGATTTTCTTTAGCTACATATTGTGCAATACTTTTCACTGGGTAAGGGATACAAAGGAAATACCTTACAAAACCAGAAAATGTAAGACACTCATTTTTCTTACAGAATGAAGAGCCAGTGTTTTCCAAGGATGGGAATACCTTCTTCCTGACCATGCCAATAAAACATGGCGGACGAGGGTCATTCCACCATATCGCCATGATATCTGACCAGGTAGGATGCTCAGCTGTTATAGTTGTGGTAAATAAATTCTCAATTAGGTTATTCACTCTCTGTTGTCCCCCATGATGAAATCGGGGAGGGGACTGTGGATCTGTCTCTGTCCGTTAGTACTTTAGTATGTTAGTCACACGATATCTCAGACAGCACTGGCTTGATTTTGAAGAAACTTGTGTGTGTGAATAATGCGTGTTGCCATAGAGATCCGGCATTTACAAAATGACATTGATTGGCCAGATGGTGGCGCTATAACAAAATATTGAAAATGCAAACTTTGAAAGGTCACGCCCCTCACACCATTTGACCTAAAGTCATGAAATTCGGTACATAGGTCCCTCTCCTCACAAGTAACATATTTGCCTAAACATTATACTGATTGACCCAAGGGGGGCGCTGCATCATTCGTGGGGGACGACATGTTTACTGTTGCCTGGTTTTGTTATGCAATCAAAGATGGGTTATGCAAGGTTATGTTGCGTCTAGAATGTAGCTGCAGGTGATCTATTGTGTGTTTGTTTTGTCTCTCGTACCTGCCCAGTTCAATGGTGTTGAGGTCAACATGCGCCACCTGACCTCTGGCAGCTGGGAGGTGTCTCAGATCCTGGAGTATGATGAGGGAGCAGACACAGTGTACGTGACTGATACTCAGACCATACTCTGACACAGGATTGCAAAATTCTGGTAACTTTCCCTAAATCCCAGGTTTTCCCAAAATCCCGATGGAAGATTCACAGAATCAGGAGGGAATAGGCAGAAAATCCAGAATCCTCCAACTAGGATTATTGGAAAACCTGGGAGTTTTGGGAAAGTTACCGGCATTTTGCAATCCTACTCTGACATAATATGCCTTCGATGTAGGGCTGGATTCAGTTGCAAAATAATGTTCAGGAAAGTCATACCGACTGAACATGGATCATAACAAAATATTTTGTTCTGTCTTTCTATAGTTATTTCCTTAGCACAGAAGATGGTTCAATACAAAGACAACTGTACAGGTACTGTTTACATGCATTTAATTAGAAAGTATAGTAATTGCCAATATGCAGATGTTAGACGTCCAACAGATATTAACTCTGGTCCAGACATTTGCATTCAGAAAGTATTCAGACCCCTTGATCTTTTTTCACATTTTGATATGTTACAGCCTTATTTTAAAATTGATTAAATACATTTATTTCCTCATCCTTCTACACACAATACCCCATAATGACAAAGTGAAAACAGGTTTAATTTGTTTTTATACAACAGAAATACCTTATACAGTACCAGCCAAAAGTTTGGACACACCTACTCATTCAAGGGTTTTTCTTTATTTTTACTATTTTCTACATTGTACAATAATAGTGAAGACATCAAAACTATGAAATAACACATATGGAATCTTGTAGTAACCAAAAAAAGTGTTAAACAAATCAAAATATATTTTATACAATGTAGAAAATAGTAAAAATAAAGAAAAACCCTGGAATGAGTAGGTGTGTCCAAACTTTTGACTGGTACTGTAAGTATTCAGACCCTTTGCTATTGAGCTGAGGTGCATCCCATTTCCATTGATCATCCTTGAGATGTTTCAACAACTTGATTGGAGTCCACCTGTGGTAAATTCAATTGATTGGACATGATTTGGAAAGGCACACACCTGTCTGTATCAGGTCCCACAGTTGACAGTGCATGTCAGAGCAAAAACCAAGCCATGACGTCGAAGGAATTGTCTGTAGAGCTCCGAGACAGGACTGTGTCGCGGCACAGATCTGGGGACGGGTACCAAAAAAGTTATGCAGCATTGAAGGTCCCCAAGAACATAGTGGCCCCCATCATTCTTAAATGGAAGAAGTTTGGAACGACCAAGAATCGTCCTAGAGCTGGCCGCCCGGCCAAACTGAGCAATCGGGGGAGAAGGGCCTTGGTCAGGGAGGTGACCAAGAACCCAATGGTCGCTCTGACAGAACTCCAGAGTTCCTCTGTGGAGATGGGAGAACCTTCTGCAGCACTCCACCAATCAGGCCTTTATGGTAGAGTGGCCAGACGGAAGCCACTACTCAGTAAAAGGCACATGACAGTCCGCTTGGAGTTTGCCAAAAGGCACCTAAAGGACTCTCAGACCATGAGAAACAAGATTCTCTGGTCTGATGAAAGATTGAACTCTTTGGCCTGAATGCCAAGCGTCACTTCTGTAGGAAACCTGCCACCAAAATGATTTAATCCATTTTAGAATAAGGCTGTAACGTAACAAAATAGGGAAAGAGTCAAGGGGTCTGAATACTTTCCGAATGCATTGTGTATGGTAGGGACCAAGCACTCAAGTGAATATGACTCTGACCTCTTATCGTATAGTATGTTCTCTGCTTCTTTCAATCAGGGTGTCGGTGGTAGACCCATTTCAACGTGAATGCCTGACCTGCTCCCTTTTCAAACCACAATGCTCCTACTACGATGCAGTCTTCAGCCCAGACTATCAGTATGTCCTGCTGAACTGTAGAGGTAATTGTTCAATAAAGATAATCAGTTCAATCTGAGTTGGATATATGCCACCTGTAATTTTACAGTGTGTTATATAACATTTTCAATTGAATGTACAGAATTTAAATTACAATAATAATTAGCAGACATTCATTGACATTTAAAAATGTTTTCATTAAATGCTCAACAAATGATTAGAAATACTTACAAGAACAAAATGTATTATACTTGGTCTCCTTTCTGCAGGTCCTGGAATACCAAGAACCACCCTTTACAAACTGAATGACATGAGCAGTAAGTACAAGAGCACCAACAATTCAAACAATGACGACCATGGCATTGTGTGTATACTGCTTGCTTGTGTAAGAAAGGAAGAACAGTGGGATGAGGGGAAGAAAGGACCATTTCTAGCAGGTCAAGGTTGTTATACTTTTTTCAGGGAGGTACAGCTGGAAGTACACTTGGTTCTATACTATCTACTACAGTATCCTCGTCTGCATCCCAAATTGCAGCCTATTCCCTATGCAGTGCACTACTTTTGACCAATGGAACCTGGTCAAAAGTACTGCACTAAATAGGAAATACAATGTCATTTGGAATGCAGCCTCTTCCTCCTCTGCAGGCACAGTGCGTGAGTGATGTTGATTAATTCACTCATTAAAGTTGCATCATTATATCCTCCATGGGCCCACAACAAATGTATATCGCTGAATCAGTTTCCTAGCAATTTGATCCTCATTTAGATGGATGTGGAAGTGGTACAATATTTAAATGCAACCTGGGTATCCTAAAGCATGTGTGCGCATTGGGTGAGTGGGATGTGTTTGGAAAATGTGTATGAACAGATATGGTAATGTGATTAAATTAAAGGAATCATGTCTATTGAATCAGTTCCACCGTATGATTTGATTATGCTGGTCGTTTCAATAAAATGGGTTTAATTTTCAACATTGGATTTGTCTATTTTAGGATATTATGGCAGACAATGTGCCTTTAGCAAGTATTCATACCCCTTGATTCCACATTTTGTTGGGTTAAAGCCTGAATTCAAAATTGATTAAGTAAATTGTTTTCTTCACCCATCTACACACAATACTTCATAATGACAAAGTAAAAACCTGTTTTTAGAAATGTTGGCAAATGTATTGAAAATGAAATACAAAAATATTCATTTACATAAGTATTCACGCCCCTGAGTCAACACATGTTAGAATCACCTTTGGCAGCAATTACAGCTGTGTCTTTCTGGTTAAGTCTCTAAGAGCTTTGCACACCTGGATTGTACAATATTTGTACATTATTATTTTTTAAATTCTTCAAGCTCTGTCAAGTTGGTTGTTGATCATTGCTAGACAGCCATTTTCAAGTTAATTTTTAATTTTAATTTAATTTTTTAATTTTAATTTTTAAATTTTGTAAAAAAAAATTGTCATTTAGCAGACGCTCTTATCCAGAGTGACTTACAGGAGCAATTAGGGTTAAGTGCCTTGCTCAAGGGCACATCAACAGATTTTTTACCTAGTCGGCTCGGGGATTAGAACCAGCGACCTTTCGGTTACTGGCAAAACGCTCTTACCCACTAAGCTACCTGCCGCCCAAGTGTTGCCATAGATTTTCAAGCTGATTTAAGTCAAAACTCTTACTAGGCCACTCAGGAACATTCAACGTCGACTTGGTAAGCAACTCCAGTGTATATTTGACCTTGTGTTTTAGTTTATTGTCCTGCTGAAAGGTGAATTTGTCTCCCAGTGTCTGTTGGAAAGCAGACTGAACCAGGTTTTTCTCTAGGATTTTACAAGTGCTTAGCTCTATTCTGTTTCTTTTCATCCCCCAAAAAACTCCCTAGTCCTTGCCGATGACAAGCATACCCATAACATGATGCAGCCACCACCATGCTTGAAAATATGAAGAGTGGTACTCAGTGATGTGTTGTGTTGGATTTTCCCCAAACATAACGCTTTGTATTCAGGAAATTTTTTGCAGTTTTACTTTAGTGCCTTTTTACAAACAGGATGCATGTTTTGGAATATTTGTATTCTGTAGAGCTTCCTTCTTTTCACTCTGTCATTTAGGTTGGTATTGTGGAGTAACTACAATGTAGTTGATCAATCTTTAGTTTTCTCCTATCACAGCCATTCAACTCTGTAACTGTTTTAAAGTCACCATTGGCCTCATGGTGAAATCCCTGAGCAGTTCCCTTCCTCTCCTGCAACTGAGTTTGGAAGGATGTCCGTATCTTTGTAGTGACTGGGTATATTGATACACCATCCAAAGTGTAATTAATAACCAGGGCGCGAGATGGTTGGAGTCGTCAACAAAGCAGCATGACAAAAAATCTTTGAGAAGATATACTGTATAAAGCCATCTGTGCATTTGAAAAACAGCATAAATACACCTATTTCACTTTTGTATGTCAAACTTCAAAAGGCACTCGCACATCTGAGCTATCTTTGATGGAAGTGCATGGTAACAGTTCAATAAGATGAGAAAAAAAAAAGAAACCCGCACACTGCTCTTGATAGTATCACTGCTCTTTAATAAGCTTTAGGTATCGGCCTCAAGGCCTTCGCCAGAGCTTTTTGCACGTCAAAAACCGAATAACCACTGCTGCACATGCTGCCACTGTTTTGAACAGATTAGATTATGCTATTTAGAAAGCGCAGCCAGCTCACGAACTAACGAGTGCACCAGGGAGAACGCAACAAGAATACAGATGCAATAAGTGAAAACAAATTATCTAGCTGGGGATAGCTAGCTAACATAATGTCACGAAGCATGATGAGCTAGCCAGTTAACAGTCATTGTGAAATAAGTTAGTCAGATATGAGTTTAGAAAGACTTGAAATTGGCATGGGAGCTAACTAGCTAACAAGCTACCAGCTACTGGTTAATTTGACGCCCAAAAACCAAACTGTTTCTCAAAATTACTGTAGCTGAATGATTAATTTGATCAGCTTTGTTTTACACCCAGTTTTATGCTGTGTTAGTCCACACAACATGTCACCCTGTCACCTACATTAGAACCTGATAAACAACATCAGGGGGAAACAATACAATTGGGCATGCTTTTTTGTCCTACCAGATCTGCGATGAGAAGGTTCTAGGTAGTGTATCCCTCTGTCCTTTAACTCTTGTTGGATGTAGTTTTCTGGTTTATCAGGTCCCAGGCTCCTATGACTTTTATGATTATTTATTTACAATTTGCTTTAACCCTATCTGTACCTGATATTGTAGTCTCACGTGCGTATGTAAGCCTTTTGGTGCGAGACACTCATTGGGAGGAGGAGACTAGAGCAGACCCAGAAGTTCTGACTGAACCAATGCACATTTGAACCCCCCAGAATGGTCCATTTACTTTGTGCTGTTTTATAATTTATGCTATGAAATCCTGCGATTTCATTGGGGCTGTGCCCCCTCATAGCAAATAGCTCGCAACACAATCCAAGCAATGTTCTCACGACCTGTGCACCCATGGAGGCGGAGCAGGTGCTGCTGGCAGTCACTGAGGGACAGAGTAGTAAGTAACTGAACAGCTTGTTTTGTACTATATATTTTTGAAACAGGAAAATACACATTTTTATTTTTACCCATTTACCAATAGGTGGCATTCTTTGCGAGGCACTGAAAAACCTCCCTGGTCTTTGTGGTTGAATCTGTGTTTGAAATTCACTGCTTGACTGAGGGACCTTACAGATATTTGTATGTGTGAGGTACATAGATGAGGTAGTCATTCAAAAATCATGTTAAACACTATTATTGTAGACAGATGTAAGTCCATGCAACTTATAATGTGACTTGTTAAGCAGATTTTTAAGCAAAACTTATTTAGGCTTGCCATAACAAAGGGGTTGAATAGTCAATACATTTCAGCTTTTCATTTTTTATTAATTTGTAACATTTATAAAAACATAATTCCACTTTGAAATTATGGGGTATTGTGTGTAGGCTAGTGACACAAAATCTCAATAGAATCCATTATAAATTCAGGCTGTAACACACCAAAATGTTGAAATAGTCAAGGGGTGTGAATACTTTCTGAAGGCACTGTAAATGCAAATACATGTAATAACCTTATATGCAATTAGGAGTCTATGCAGATATTAAAACATAATGCTTTACCATGACAGATTTAAGAGAGATTATGTGTCTGGCTAATCCAATTATTTATTTTTCCATCACTGTATATAGAGAATGAAACTTTGGAGAAGAACACTGCACTAAGAGATGCACTGCTATATAGAAATATACCAAGGAGAGATATCAGGACCCTACAAATCAACAACTTTGGTATGACAATCCAATCTTTCTCATGATCATTCTATCATCGTGACCATCATCTTCATTATCATCTTTGGGCATTATAATCATAGTTGTTATCATCATTGTCATAGTCATCATCAGCATCATCATGAATCATCATCCTTATCCCTCATGTGGTTCATTCATGGAATAATAGCACAGTTATAGGTAACATATTTCAGCTGTTGACCTGCTACATGCAGACGATTCGACAGGCAGACTTTTTAGATGTAGTGTGAGCCATGGAGCTTGTAGTGCCGGAGTACATAATAAACAGATACCTGGGATAAACACAATTAAAAGAACAGGTGCACAGCTTTGTGAAGTGATTATGAATCAGCTCTGGAATGAGAAGCCTGCCAATCTACTGATCCAATTAGATGGGAAGGCTCGCCATATGGGTTCTTCACTCTGAACCGTGTGTGCAATTAGACACACTGTGCTACATTTCATTAAGGTTTCTGAATTAAGACTGCACCTCAATTTCTAGCTCCATTTCAAGGATTGCCTTTTGTCCATGTTTTTTCACCCTTTTTCCTCTTTCATGTCTTGATTTGTATGTATGCTGCCATACATGTACATTTGTCTGCAATGTAATCAGTTGCTAGGTAATTTGTTGAGCGATGTAACCTGTAATTTGTCAAATCATAATTCCATGCAATCGAACAGGTTAACGTATGAAGATTCTCTCAAGATTCTCATTGTAGAAATAAACATAATATGTTAAGGTACTGCATTTGGAAGCCTGATTGGTACTTACTATAATCAATGTGCATTTGAGGTGTAAGGGAATTCTGATTTATTTTATAGCACTACGTCTTGAGCTGACCTTGCCAATAGATTTTGATGAGGCCACAGCGCATCCACTTCTGCTGATCCTGTACGTATCCTACCCTTCACCAATCCTGCATCCTTATCTTGGATATGTGTATTCCAACGAGCACTGAACACACTAGAAGTCACTGATATTGAACCTTGTTGGTAAGTTCAATTTGACCAACTTTGATTGTGTTCCACAGTGACAGTGCCCCCTGTGGCCAGGCGGTGAGTGAACAGTTTGTTCTGGACTGGGACTCGGTTCTGGTCAGCTCGGATAACGTCATCGTGGCTCGCCTGGACGGCAGTGGGAGTGGGTTCCTGGGCCAGAGGGTCCTACATGAAGTCCACCAGCGTTTGGGAACTGTGGAGGTGCAGGACCAGATCGCAGCAGTAGAGTATGTACTGGAGCATGATCTGAACATGATCTGAAAGCTCTCGCATGGATACTGTTGAAATAAATTGTTGATTCGATGCATTTCAGAAATGGTAGACTTTAATACCCTCCTGTATTTTATTAGTTACCTGACCAAGCTGCCATATGTGGATAATAACAAGGTTGCTGTTTATGGAAAGGTAAGGAAGTTTAATTTGGTAAATTTAATGATATGGTATAGTTTGCTATAACCCCTTTTTGTATTCTTACTTACAGTACATGGGTTTTTACCTATATCCACATTGCATGTCCAACATTTTTGGGGGGTGTTTCCCCAGGCTTATGGGGGCTTCCTGAGCTCTCTTCTACTCCTCTCCTCTGGCTCCATGTTCAGATGTGGGGTTGCAGTTGCTCCCGTGACAGACTGGAGACTCTACGGTAATTTCCCAGTCTAAGATACATCTTTTCAGCAGCTATTCATTTAATACAGTTTGTCAAGTCATGTCCAATATCTCTTAGGAGTTATGCTGATGACCACAATACATCAGGCTTTGTCAAATATGGCAGGTGGTGCGGCACTCATCCATTTACTTGAAATGTAGGGCCCCGTACAATAATAATATAATAATATAATATGCCATTTAGCAGACGCTTTTATCCAAAGCGACTTACAGTCATGCGTGCATACAATAAGGCTGATGGTGGTTGTTTTCTATACCAGGGGTTCCCAAAGTTTGTATAGTACCGTACCCCTTCAAACATGCAACCTCCAGCTGCGTACCCCCTCTAGCACCAGGGTCAGCGCACTCTCAAATGTAGTTTTTTGCCGTCATTGTAAGCCTGCCACACACACACTATTCGATACATTTATTAAACATAACAATGAGTGTGAGTCCCAATATAAGTGAACCCCAAATCAATGTAGTTCTCATATTTGCGCCTCTTCGATGGTCCAACGTCCCGGTCTGTTGTTCGGTGCTTTCCCGGGTAAGGGGGCAGTAGCTCTTTGGCTGCATCAGATTCACAACTGTCAGTGTCCATGCTAGCTGGGCTAGCAACAAATGTAGAATTACTGATGCTAGCATTGGATGTGCTCGTGGAAGCAGAACAACTTGTGTCGTCGACAGGTGCAGGTGTAGTACTGCTGGTAGTAGCAGTACTACCAGTAGAGCTGGTATATGTCTCTATGGACGCGGGCCTTACTTTTGAATGAGCAGCAGCTACGTTTGGCTACATATGGACCGTTAGTGGAATTCACACGAGAGAGTAACAGTTAATGTGATTGGATGTTAATTATATGACTGGGCTACCTGTATTTGACATTGTGTTGTTATTTCGCTGAACACTAGATGGTTAAATTCTATTTTTGGACTGTATTAATAGTGGACTAATGAAGGACATACCAAAATATATTTTTCTAGTGGATTTTTCCATTAAGATGTTCACACACTTAACTATGTTGTTTTGTGTATTTTTCTAAAGGTTCGGCCTTCACTGAGCGATACTTTGGGTTTCCGGTCCAGGATGATCGTAAATACCAGGTATGATTGACTTTCCAAGTTTTTTTTTTTTTATATTGAGAGGTGGTCAAGGTGGAAGCACTTTGAATATTCTACATTTAATCTTATCATTAGCAATTCATCCAATAAACACATGTTACAGTGCAATAGCATCATAACTGTTGATTCTTCTCTAATGGCAAGCCTCTGGTAGTGGCAAGCCTCTGTTAAATCACACCAAGCTGTGCTTGAATGCATTTCTCTGCAAAATCTTGGAGAAAACTAGTTGGTATTTACAGTATGTTTTCAGTATCTCTCACTGATATAAAATTGTCATTGTGTCTCGAACAGCTCTCCAGTCTGCTTCCCAACATCACAGGCACAGGTCATCAGAAGTTTCTCATCATCCATGGAACAGCCGATGGTGAATTCTAGTTTTCTCTAGTTGCTACTCTGGGCAGTGATTGCACACTATTGTTGGACTTAAATGTGAAGCTTTTTTTGTAGGTTTAATGAAAAAGATAGGAGACATGCCGTTATCTAATTAGTGTTTTATCTGTCAGTCAGACAGTGTTTAGGTCAAACAATGGGCTTATTCATGTGTTCAGTTGATTAACTGATTGTTAGCCTTAAGTGGTGATTAAAAGTATCATACTGTTGTTAATGAAATTAATAAGTTATGATTGACAGGCACTCACAAAATAGAACTGAGCAGAACATGTTATAATTGCATACCAGGTACTTGTGCACATGCTAGATTTTAAGTCTGTGCACATTTATACCTGAAACACAGTGCATTTTATATTTAGAACTTATCTTATGAGAAGAATCATGGCTTCTGTTGTACATCATGCTATAGCTTTATCTACTGTATCAGATCTATTTCATCTCTGAATAGCTTAGTGACTATGACAATGGATATTGCTTTTTGTCTGCATTGCTGCAGTCTCAACCATGTAGTATTACATTTAATTATGCGACATTGCCTACAATGTTAGTCATTTTTGGATGAAAATGCCTGTCGAGCAAGGACACCAACGTTTCACTTATCATTATCTCTCTTTCAGCCACCGTTCATTTCCAGCATTCCGCGGAGCTGGTGAAACTGCTGTCAATATCAAACGTTAACTACAGTCTGCAGGTGACCAGTTACATTCTCCCTTCCTGTGCCAAGTGCCATTTAATGTCCCTGACAAAGGAGTCCTCAGTGAAGCATGTATAATTCAAGCTGACCTTCCCCCTCTGCATTGAATCATTTATTATTTAAAGTTTGACAAAGTGAAAATGGTTACCTGCTGCGTGGTGCCAAACCTGCCCTGAAGAAAATCTGTCTGATATTTAAAAAAGGCCCCATCTTTGAAAAGTAAGTGGGAGAGGAGGGAGAGGGAGAATTCAAGAAAGTAATAGTGGAGTGATAATGGTAAGGGGGAGAACTAAAGTAAAGGTAGACTCAGCTAAATTACATTGCCACGAGCAGCATTGCAGATGTTGCGATGAGCCAGATGCAAGACTTCGCTCTCACACACAGTATCTGTGCAGGAGTTGGCTTCTTAAAATGTGGTAGCTACGGGACCAAAACAGTAGAGAAGTTAAGGCTCGCTCTTCACCGTTCTTAGTTGTTGCGGAAATTGACCCACTATGCTGTTTACTTTGTGCATCTACGTCATATCGCTGAGTCTACCTTTAAGTGTAAAATGAAGTGTAATTAATAACAGTAGTCCTGCATGTGTGTTGTCACATTGATAATCACTTCACATTGTTAACACTTCTTTTTATCTAAGTCGTAATAACAGTAAATGTAAAACTGCTCTGCTGTAGAATTCAATATAATGATAATGAACAACTACTTATTTCTCTGTTTCCTAGATCTTCCCAGACGAAGGCCACAACATTGACTCTGTGAAGAGCCAACGCTACTTGTTGAACTCTGTCATGAACTTCTTCAAGGAATGCTTCCTAGTGGAAATCCCTGTAGCTCATCCTGTGTCTGAGGATGACTAGGATGACCATATCTCACCTTGTTTTTGTAGAACCTGTTGCTCCTGGAAATGAGAAAGTGGTCTTTTGACCTGCTTGTCTGAGGAACCCCCAGTGAGAAGTGGTGAGATATGGTGAGACAATGTGGATGAGAGAGGGGTCAGACAATGTTGCTGTGCTCTATGAAGGGTAATGATAGGCTGAGATGAGATTGAAGATGTATTTTTCCTGTACAGTGATGTATAATTTTCCTATTGCTATGATCAAGCAACAGTGCACCTAGGAACATTTAGGTTGTTATTAAGGTCTACCAGTGTTCTCCAAATATCATAAGTATACAGTTAGCATGGTAGAGTTTCAGTAGAGAAGAAGGGAAACTTGTTCATATTAGCTGTTTGTATGGGAGATATGTTTTTGTCTTTACTGTTAAAGATGTGAAAGGGAGATATGTATTTATTTTTCCATTTAAAGATTATAGTTATTTTCAGACATCTGTAATGTAATGTGAATTGTATACCTAGATACCTATTCAGTTCTAATTTGCCATTTAGCAGGCACTTTTATCCAAGGCAATTTACAGAGCTTGCATTAGGGATAAATACAGGTAACCGGGACCACTCTTCACATTTCCCCAAAAAATACAATGACAAGACCTGGAAAATTAAAACATTTTCCCCCAATGTCGCACAAATGCAATTCCACAAAATACACAACCTGTGCAGCATGAGATTGGCCAAAAATAAAATAGCACATTATCCAGTCAGGTTGTCGCATGGAAGCCTTTAGCCTAGAGTATTTACTTTAAAAATTAAGAGACCACTGCACATTTTTTCTTAAATCAGCATCTCTACATGTATGACAGCCATTCCATTCCAGTGTCTGTTGAATTCCAACACAGGCACACCTCATTCTACTGAATTAGATACTGATTAGGTGATCACCTGAACCAAATCTTATTTAACAGGGAAAAGTATAAAAACCACTGCTGTGGTCATCACTATCCTCTTGCAATAGGACCAGCTGGATGGCAAAAACAGTGCTAATAGTACCTCAAAAGTAATATTAATCAGAAAATAACTATTGACCATGCCAATAGAGTTGAAAAGGAAAGTTTTGAGTGAGGAAAAGAAAGGTTCAATTTTGGCTTTACTGGGAGAGGGATACAGTGAGCGTCAGGTTGCTTCCATCCTTAAAATTTCAAAGACGGCGGTTCATAAGAACAAGGTCAAGCAGCAGACATTGGGGACAACAAAGCTACAGACCGGCAGAGGGCGAAAATGACTCTCTACTGACTGGGATGACCGCCAACTCATTCGAATGTCACTCAACAACCGTAGGATGACATCAAGTGACCTACAAAAATAATGGCAAACGGCAGCTGGGGTGAAGTGCACGGCGAGGACGGTTCGAAACAGGCTCCTAGGGGCAGGGCTGAAGTTGTGCAAAGCTAGAAAAAAGCCCTTCATTACATTTACATTTTACATTTTAGTCATTTAGCAGACGCTCTTAACCAGAGCGACTTACAGGAGCAATTAGGGTTAAGTGCCTTGCTCAAGGGCACATTAACGTCATTTAGCAGACGCTCTTAGCCAGAGCGACTCACAAATTGGTGCGTTCACCCTATAGCCAGTGGGATAACCACTTTACAATTTAGAAGGGTTAGAAGGAACACTTTAGCCTATCCCAGGTATTCCTTAAAGAGGTGGGGTTTCAAATGTCTCCGGAAGGTGGTGAGTGACTCCGCTGTCCTGGCGTCGTGAGGGAGCTTGTTCCACCATTGGGGTGCCAGAGCAGCGAACAGTTTTGACTGGGCTGAGGGGGAGCTGTGCTTCCGCAGAGGAAGGGGAGCCAGCAGGCCAGAGGTGGATGAACGCAATGTCCTCGTTTGGGTGTAGGGACTGATCAGAGCCTGAAGGTACAGGGGTGCCGTTCCCCTCACTGCTCCAAAGGCAAGCACCATGGTCTTGTAGCGGATGCGAGCTTCAATTGGAAGCCAGTGGAGTGTGCGGAGGAGGGGGGTGACGTGAGAGAACTTGGGAAGGTTGAACACCAGACGGGCTGCAGCATTCTGGATGAGTTGTAGGGGTTTAATGGCACAGGCAGGGAGCCCAGCCAACAGCGAGTTGCAGTAGTCCAGACGGGAGATGACAAGTGCCTGGACCAGGACCTGCGCCGCTTCCTGTGTAAGGCAGGGTCGCACTCTCCGAATGTTGTAGAGCATGAACCTGCAGGAGCGGGTCACCGCCTTGATGTTGGCGGAGAACGACAGGGTGTTGTCCAGGGTCACGCCTAGGCTCTTCGCACTCTGGGAGGAGGACACAGCGGAGTTGTCTACCGTGATGGCGAGATCATGGAACGGGCAGTCCTTCCCGGGGAGGTCATCAATGATAAGCAAAGAAGAGCCAGGCTGAGGTTTGAAAAAGACCATAAGGATTGGACTGTAGAGGACTGGAGTAAGGTCATCTTCTCTGATGAGTCCAATTTTCAGCTTTGCCCAACACCTGGTCGTCTAATGGTTAGACGGAGACCTGGAGAGGCCTACAAGCCACAGTGTCTCGCATCCACTGTGAAATTTGGTGGAGGATCGGTGATGATCTGGGGTTGCTTCAGCAAGGCTAGAATAGGGCAGATTTGTCTTTGTGAAGGACGCATGAATCAAGCCACGTACGAGGTTGTCCTGGAAGAAAACTTGCTTCTTTTTGCTCTGACATTGTTCCCCAACTCTGAGGATTGGTTTTTCCAGCAGGACAATGCGCCATGCCACACAGCCAGGTCAACCAAGGTGTGGATGGGACCACCAGATCAAGACCCTGTCATGGCCAGCCCAATCTCCAGACCTGAACCCCATTGAAAACTTTTGGAATGTGATCAAGAGGAAGATGGATGGTCACAAGCCATCAAACAAAGCCGAGCTGCTTGAATTTTTGCACCAGGAGTGGCATAAAGTCACCCAACATCAATGTGAAAGACTGGCGGAGAGCATGCCAAGACGCATGAAAGCTGTGATTGAAAATCTGGGTTATTCCACCAAATATTTCTGAACTCTTCCTGAATTAAAACATTACTATTGTGTTGTTTAAAAATGAACATTAACTTATTTTCTTTGCATTATTCGAGGTCTGACAACACTGCATCTTTTTTTGTTATTTTGACCAGTTGTCATTTTCTGCAAATAAATGCTCTAAATGACAATATTTTTATTTGGAATTTGGGAGAAATGTTGTCAGTAGTTTATAGAATGAAACAAAATTTTTATTTTTACCCAAACACCTACCTATAAACAGTAAACCCAGAGAAACTGATAATTTTGCAGTAGTCTCTTAATTTTTTCTGCAGCTGTAATTGACACGGCTGGACTGCAGACAAGACTTGAATACAATTTAGAGTTCTCATCAGAACTGAGAATTCCCAAAAATAAACTGTAGGCTAAACTGTAGGCGGCAGTAGCTTAGTGGTTAAGAGCGTTGTGCCAGTAACGGAAAGATCGCTGGTTCTAATCCCCGAGCCGACTAGGTGAAAAATCTGTTTATGTGCCCTTGAGCAAGGCACTTAACCCTAATTGCTCATGTAAGTCGCTCTGGATAAGAGCGTCTGCTAAATGACTAAAATGTAAATGTAATATTGATTTAAACTGGTGTTGAGAACAACACGGCGGAGGCGGGCGGCAGCAGAGTGAGTAGATGAGGAAACTGAATAATGATCAACCGAATAATGAAAATATTGGAATATAGTAGACTAATGCAATTGAAGGCATTGCTTATACTGAAACTCCCACCGTCATATGCAACCGTTATACTAATGTAGTTTGAGGGTTCTTTCAAATGGTGGATGGATGACTCTCTACGTCAGGGGTGTCAAACTCATTCCATGGATGGCCTAGTGTCTGTGGGTTTTTGTATTTTCCTTTCAATTAAGACCTAGACAACCAGGTGAGGGGAGTTCTTTACTAATTAGTGACCTTAATTCATCAATCAAGTACGAAGGAGGAGCGAAAACCTGCAGACATTCAGCCCTCCGTGGAATGAGTTTAACACATGCTCTATGTGAACATAGAAACTGAATGGAGAATGATTACTATTTTATAGATTTAATCATCAACTGCACACAGATACAGCGATGCATGAACTCAGCTACTTCCTGTTCTCTCATTTTAAATCATTCACATTCCAACAATCACAAATAAGCAAGGTGGTTACTAGGTAAATAGTCTAACTATTACCATTTCAAACAACTGATTCCACAGTCTTTTTAACTAACCAACAGTGAAACAAAAAATAAGAACTCTCATAAAATAATCCTACACAAATTTAAACCAATAGTTGTGTGTGGTCACGTAGATTATCATTTCAGAGAATGTGTGATCAACAAACGGTATGAAAGCATATATGGATTTTTTTTTTTACAGAGTTGGTCCCTATTAAGATATCATGATATTTAAACAATTGCCTTTCTTAATCTCCCCATTATTCATGAGCTGATCTGCTATCTATATAATCATGAACTCGATTTTGCCAAATAGGAGATATTCTGTCATTCGTTGGAGGTTATCTAGCAAGCTTAGCAACTTTGGTCATTTGACTTTTGTTTGACTGCCGTTACAAAGTTTTGTATGATTCAACAATGCTATAGCATACTCGGGGTGCTCTCTTTGCGTCCTGAGCGCGCTCTGTGTCGAGATAGCTTAGGCCTACTGCTGAAATTTTGCAATTCGCAATCAAAATTACTCTATCATTACTAAATATCAATTTCACTTGTTGTGAAATCTTTACATAGTGTCACAGCCAAGCCAGCAATGTGGCATAGCGACAATCTTATTTTGGGAGAACCCTGGCATAGTGACCATATCTTGATTTTAAATGGGCTCTTGGGATGAATATGAATTATTCCAGGTATTGAAACTTGGTAGATTTTCTGGAAAATATTAATCCCCAGCGTGCATACACTTCCGTATGGGCGGCCCCAGCATAACCCACAAGCTGATGTTGCAAGCCCCATGCTTTACCAACTCAGCCAATCTATTGTAC